CACTGCAGGATGGTTCCTTTCTACCAAGCCGCCAAATGCTAAGATTCCTCACGCCCCACCTTAGCCCTCTTCTCTTCTTACTCTACAGTCTCTACCAAACTGATAGCAGCTACGTCCAAGGCTTCTATCGATACCTTAATCCAGGTGACTCACAAATTCTTATTGAACATTTGATTTTGGGATAAGTGTAGATTTGCATGCAGTTGTATGAAGTAACACATACATCCTCTGTATCCTCTAATGGTTTACTCCAATGGGAACATCCTATAAAATTATAATGCAGTGTTGTAACCACGACATCGATGCTGATACAATCCAGGTATAGAACAGTCGCATCATCCCCAGGATGCCTCATCTTGCCCTTTTCTAGGCACACCCACTTTCTTCTCACCACCATCTTCCAGTCTTATCGCCTGAAAACCACGGACTTTTTCCATTTCTATAATTATGTCATTTCAAGGACATTATGTAAATGGAGTCCTGCAGTATGTAACATTTTGAGATTGACCTTTTTTTCACATAGCATAATTCTTTGGACAGTCATCCAAATTGTTTTGTACATAAATAGTTTATTTATTTTGTTAACAAATACTATTCCATGGTATAGATATACCACATTTGTTTAATAATCCATCCATTGAAGGACATCTGGGTTATTTCCAGATTTTAGATTTTAGTTATTACAAATAACGCAGCTTCTATGAATATATGTTATTATTTCTACGAGACAAATACCCCAAAGTATAATTGCTAGGTTGTAGTAGTTACATGTTATTGTTGTTTAAGTGGCTGCGAAGTGGTTTTTCACTGTAGCTGTACTCATCCTGTATGAGTGATCCAGTTTCTCCGTATTTGTACCAAAATTTGGTATTGTAATTAACTTTTAATTTAGTCAGTCTGATAGGTATGTAGTGATACCTCATTGCGGTTTTAATTTGCATTTTTCTACAGGCTAATTATGTTGAACATCTTTTCATGTCCCTTGTTTACCATCTTCATATCTTCTTCTATGAAATGTCTGTTCATGTCTTTTGTATTGTTTGAGTTGGCAAACTGTAAATGCTTAATGATAATGATCTTGGTATCTAGTGGCTATATACAAAGAGATTATGTCTACAGTATGGTAGAAAAGGGAAGTTTATACCTAATTAATAATAAACAGCAACTTATAGTACTTGTGTTTTCCATACCAAATAAATTTGTCTCCTTAATAACTAGCGTTTGTAATAGGAATATTCTTAAATTTCACAAATACATGTACATTTTAAACTAATATTCATTTCTCATTTTTATATCAGAAATATAAAAAATACTCTCAACAATTTTACAGAGTAGCAATTTCAACAATAGACTGATCCTGTGAATAAAAAGGTTAACTTTGACAACAAAATTAGTAAGTTTGTTCACACGACCTTCCCACATAAATGTTAAATTATCACAAACTCTTTACTGTGTGAGCTATGTTTATTTACTGTTTATTTATTCATTGCATGCAATGAATACCACCGAAATATTGTTTGAGACATTAAGAATACAAAAAATAAAGGTAAAATACTTCCTTTACCTGCAATAACCCAGATCATTTGTGAAAAAAACTATAAGGCAACTACAGACTATAAAGAATAAACTATATTAGCCTTAGGGCTAACTAAAAAGCTAAGACAAAATAAGAGAGAAATGATCTCTCAAGGGACAGGATAATTATAAGAAAAAATATTTGATCCTTATCTCTTAAAAAGCCCTATTAGGGCATTAAATCATCAGGTGAGAGAAGCGTGGCTAGAAATGGAGAACAACACAGGTAAAGGTAAAAGGTACAGAAACAGAAACATGTAGGAACTGGGCAAGTAATGGTGAAGCTACAACTCTGGGCAAATGTAGAAGAGGCACAACAAAAAAAGTTTGGGGTATTTGTGCCACTGTAAATGAGAGATTTTCAATATATGATTCAGAATTCAATAACAGACCGTAAGAGATCAAATAGTTTTCCAACCTCCCCTCTCGCCACAGCCAATCATTTCTTAGATTTATAAGTATTGCTTAAACCTGAGACAAAGGCTCTGGGATGCAAATTCTGCAACCTCGGGTCAGATCCACACTGGAGTGGACTGACAAACCAAATTTCAGCTGGGATTCCTACAGCCTGTAGAAACAGGGTAGGGGTCTCATTCACACGTGAAGGTTGTTTCCATTTATAGAAAAATTGTAGTCTAATTTTAAGTTACTTTTAAACTTTCTCAGAAGTTAGCCATGTAAATCACATAGAAAAGATGTGAGATATTACATTGCTGAACACACTGAAAATTTAGACTACAATATTTACACGGCTAAGTTTATGTTCTTCGATGTTATTATTGGTTTGTATTTTCTGTAATTTAGATGTTTCTTTTGTGTACTTGACTTTCTGCTATGATGTTTCTTCATCTTATTTATAATGGTGTTTGACATGGAAGAAAGAAATGTGATATCACATGAACTTGAACATAAATAACTGCAAAAACTTTTTGAGAAAAATCAGTTTGATGAAACTCTTTTCTCTGATGACAAGTCAGAAAATTCAGGAAGCTGTAAATCTAAAACTCTTAAAATTATTTTAAAAGTGCCATTCAATATAGTAAATGTAATACAGAGTGTAAGAAAAGAACTACTAGAAACCTTTTATAGAAAAATTAAGATTTTTTGCATTATGAAAGTCTAAGATATTTCTAATACTCTACTAAAATGTTAGCAATAGTGATGACTACATGGATGATGTTATATGAAAAATATTACCAAATTAAAAGGTTCACATAAGGGCTTATGCAACCAAAAAGTTGCATATTCAATGAGTGAGATTTAGTCATATGAAGGAGCTGGGAGTAATTAAACTTGGAAGGAAGGACAAGATTTTACTGATGGAATTTTGGAGAGCTTGGGAAATTTAGCTATGATGAGATTCAGGTCTGAGAACCCTTTTATTCATTTGGATAATAACAGTATTTAACATTCATTGAGTACTTACTATTTTCCAGGCTGTTTTTTAAGAACTATTATAAGAATTATTATAAACATAATTTAACCCATTTAATCCCAGGAGTCCAGTACTCTTATCCCCATTTTACAGAGGAGGGGACTGGGGCACAAGGAAGATAAGTAACTTGCTGAGGGTCACAGCACTAGTAACTGATAGACCGCAACATGAAACCTGACCGACAGGGCTGCAGTCTGCTCCCTCTTCCTGGAGCCTCCAGTCCCAACAGTTCACAAGCGTGTAGCCCTCTTTGTGTGTCCGGCATTTGTGCACATTTTCTCCATTAACCTTCAAAGCAGTTCAAAGAGCTACATATTACTTACCCATGCCAGGCATGAGACAACTGAGATGGGGCAGGTCCAGGATTAGAACCCATCCTACATCTCATACTCTCAATTTCTCTGCTCCTACCTTGCCTAAAATAAAGGACTGTGCAGCCGAGTCAGAGCACACAGGTTGGATGAGTCCGTGAAACCCACATATAAAAGGATTCTGAGAAAAATTTTTTTAATTTGAACTTGATTTGTGAGACACATTCATCAGTGTCTAGGTGCTCAATAAATTTTGTTCAATGAATGATACTTGAATGAACAACTATAAACTTAATTGAGGATATTGTCATACCAGCCTCTCCTCCTAACATTAAATGGTAGCATGACTCACAAAAATAAGATAAAATAACTACAGCCAGACAGAGGTCAAGTATTTCTTTTCCTTAAAACACTTCACTTCCCAAGTCCAGTCAGCCACAAAAGGTCTGTCTCACTATCACAAATCAGCCACAAAACACCTGGGTTATAGCTTTCTGATTTGAATATCCAGACTTCTGAAAGATCTGGCTGGCTAGGGGAGATTAGCAAGATTTCTCACTGTATCACATTTTTACTAAGATAACTAAGCATAGTAACGTTAAATAACACAATTATTCTTCATCATTAAAAGGAAAAAAGAAGCTTCCTCAATAACCCATGACTTTTTTCAGTTACTGCTTGGACTAACCTTAGTTATATATAGGTTACTAGGCCCAAGTTTAAAAATGTTTTCTTTCAATTCATTAAATATCTTTAATTTTTTAAGGCAACTTTTAATCTAAAATCGCATTCCCATCCCAAATGCTTCTAGAGGATCTTAAGCCAAATCAGCACCAAAGGTCTGTTGTGTTATTTTTCTTATTCAGTGAGTGAGAATTAATCAGAGACTTTTCCAATATTTCCTGGTCTCTATTAGAAGTGCCAATGCTTCATCTGTGGTCCCTTCGTGTCTCAAATAACATGAAAAAAAAGACAAAAAATAAGGCAAACAGGGTCATCTCTTTGGTCCTTTGTTTTCTTGTTTTCCAACCTAGGACCAATAGGGGGCAGTATTGCTCATATACCAACATGGTCAGCTGATATTTTCTCTTTTTTGATAAGTATCTTTATTGGACCTAGTGTGAAATACTATAGCTACATCTTTTTTCCCTCCCTAAGCATATGACAGCAAACTGGTAACATCTGCTTTTTTCATAGATTGCCTTCTGAAAGAACTTGTGATTCAGCTTTTACTTGAAAGTTTTTTTCTAAATGGTAAACATATCTTAAAAAAACACACACACACAAACAAACAGGAAATCAAACACATGATCCGTTCAATTATTTCAAAATTCAATAGGAAGTGTATTTTCTGTAAATCATCTCCATTATCAATTTGTCCTTACGTTAATTTTTAATGAGTAACATTTCCATCATATATAACTTGGGATTAAATATTTAAGACAATACAGGTTGATGTTTTAAAATAAGTTGTCCTTTCCTCTCTGTTACAGCTATCATTCAAAGTCAACGATTAGCAAGTTTCTCCAGCTGTCCCACAATGAAGGAGTTTCATCCATTAGAGTAGAGAGAAAATAACAGCAACAACAAATTTAATGGAAATTAGTTGTAACTGACTAATTTAACTCTGTACACCATCTCTTTTCCTGTTTAACATTGTGATTGTCTTTGGTTTCTAGGGACAGAGCCCCTTTTATTTTTACTTCAGAGATGGAACACTTCATTACAGAAGGTGGGAAAAATCCACAGCACTTCCAAGATTTTGTGGAGCTTTGCTGTCGGGCTTATAATATTGTCAGAAGACACAGCCGTCTAATCTTGAACCTACTAGAAATGGTAAGTCCCTTGGGGAAACAACAAAAAAAAGGAAAAAGCTTCAATTATGTCTTTCTGTGAGTAGTCTATTTTTGCTAATGGCTTGGAGTTCCCCGAAGAGCTGTTCAAAGTGGAAATAAATGAACAAACTAAAAGTACCATTGTATAGCTTATAAACACATTTCTTAATAAATTTGCTAATCTGTTCACAGTTGTCCCAAACATTTCTATTCAAGCTAATATTGCCATAATCAGGAGCTATCTCTGTATATTTTGACTAAAGATCAGGGACAGTAATTTAGAATGTTGTAGCAGTCATATTGTGGTTTAGGATTTTTTTAAGTGCTTTTAAAAAACTATCACACTAGAATTCTCTCCTTCATTTTAATCTTGGCTAATGTAATGATGATGTGCCTTGGTGTGTTCCTTCTTGGGTCCAATTTCTTTGGGACTCTCTGAGCTTCCTGGATTTCTTGGAAGTCTATTTCCTTTGCCAGAATGAAGAAGTTCTCTTTTATTATTTGTTCAAATAAGTTTTCCACTCATGGCTGTTCCTCTTCCCCTTCTGGCACCCCTATAATTCTGATGTTGAAATGTTTAAAAATGTCCTGGAGGTTCCTAAGCCTCTCCTCATTTTTTTGAATTCTTGTTTCTCCATTCTTTTCTGTTTGGTTATTTTTTTCCTCTTTCTGGTCCACTCCTTCGATTTGAGTCCCAGTTTCCTTTCCATTACTATGGGTTTCCTGTGCATTTCCATTCATTTCAATTAGTTTAGCCTTCATATGTTCCTCTAACTTGTGACTAAAATCAACCAGCTCTGTGAGCATCCTGATCACCAATGTTTTGAACTGTGCATCTGAAAGTTTGACTATTTCTTCATCACTTAGATTTATCGACTCTGGGGCTCTAAGTTCTTCTTGAGCTACGTTTTGCTCTGTTCATGCCTGATAGGTATGAGGAGCAGAGCCTTAGGTGTTCACCAGGGCAGGGCCACCCAGGTCACTAGTTTGCAAGAGATAAGGGGACAATTACCTACAAAGGAGTTCCCATCAGACTGTCAGCTAATTTCTCAAAAGAGACCTTACAGGCAAGAAGGGGCTGGAAAGAAGTATTCCAAGTCATGAAATCCAAAGACCTACAACCAAGATTGCTCTATCCAGCAAAGCTTTCGTTTAGAATGAAAGGGCAGATAAAGTGCTTCTACGATCAAATTCAAGGAGTTCATCATCACCAAGCCCTTATTATATGAAATGTTAAAGGGACTTACCTAAGAAAAAGAAGATAAAAAAGATGAACAGTGAAAGGACAGCAAACTCACAGTTAGTAACAACCACACCTAAAACAAAAGCAAACTAAGAGGATAGCTAGATCAGGAGCAGAACCATAGAAATGAAGATCACACGGAGGCTTAGCAACAGGGGAATGGGAGAAGGAGAAGGGGGAGAAGGTATAGAAAATAAGTAGCATAGACAGTAGATAGAAAATAGATAGGGGGCAAGAATAGTAGGGGAGATATACAATCTAAAGAACTTGAGACACGTCATAAACTAAAGGGGGGGACGGTGGGGGAGAGGGTGTGCAGGGTGGAGGGGAATGAAGGGGGGAATAGAACAACTGTAATGACATAATCAATAAAATATATTAAAAAAAACTATCACACTTACACATTATGGCAACTCAATAATGTAGACAGACCAGGCAAGGATTTTTCCTGGCTCCCCTCCCACTCTCTGCCTTTGATCAGTTGCTATTTCCAGATTAGAAACTGAGAGCCAAAAATGTGAGGTGACTTGCAAGCAAGTCAACCAGAGAATGCTACATTTAGTAGTATGCATTTGGTCTGCTGAGTCATGGACCTACATGCTTTCTGCTGACCAACATGGGAAAATTCAATGTTTCATTCCACTGTCCAATACAAAGAGGATCAGATATGCAGGGTGAGAGGGGAAGGATCTGTCAGAAATGTCTTCTGGAAGAAGAACAGAGTGATTCATTTGGTCACATACATATACACTAGTTATTGCAGCAAACTGTGGGAGAGAAATACACCTTTGCTAGATCACTATAGTGTCTGGAGTCAATCTGATCATCAACAATAACTGGTCTAGAAGCTTCAGCTGACAATAATTCTACCAGATGCTGTTAAGGGCACAAACTTGGTGGTCAGGCTTTCCTGGGTTTGAATCCTAATTTGACATTCTACTGGCTACATTGCTCTAGTAAGACTCTATTTCCTCATCTATTAAATGGACATAATAGCATCTACCTTATATAGGTAGGATCGGTAAATGCATAACCTAATCTTGAATGCTTTGTTATTGCACTATGCTAAGATCTTTATGTATGTTCATTGCTTTAAATTTCATAATAACCCTAAAAATAATTAATATTTAAAAACTTAGAACAATACCTACCAAATGTCAGGATTCAGTTAATTTATTATACTAGTTCCTTGTTAATCTACAAAAATACTGTCCAGTATAGTACCCCTACTAACATGTAGTTATTTAAATTTAAATTAATATTGAATAAAATTTTTAATTCAGCTTCTTAGGCTTGTTAACCACATTTCAAGTGCTCAATAGCACTTCATACATGTGGCTAGCAGTACCATATTGGACAGCAGAGCTATAAAATATATCCATCATTGAAAAAATTATTAGTACTGAATAAACGTTGACCTTATTGCAATACAGGTTTGATTTGGATCATTGTTTTAACTTGAAAACAACAAATGTACCTTACTTCTCTTTTTTATGCCTTGAAAAAAATGGGAATTTCTAAAAATACTATAAACATGTAATCCTTCATATAATACAAAGATTTCTTCATGTGTAAATTGGATATAGAAGGTTCTGTCCATCTTCAGAATCAACTTGGCTTTCCAGTAATTGCCAGTGACTCATATTGGTAGATTTGTGTGTTATCTCTGAATCTCAGAATTTTATTAGGCCATATTGCAATTATGAGCTGCCTTATGGTTCATAATCCATGTTCATAGCACAGAGGAAACTCTACAAGGACTGAGTCTGTGACCTTGACTCCATTTACATAATAAATATTCAGATACTATCAACTCTAATATTTACCTGCGATCTAGCAAACTCTAACTCGTGAATCCCTGAGCTCTTGAGAACCTGCTATATTCCAGAAACTGCTGAAGATACATTAATGTATGAGACCCAGTCAGTCTTAAAATTTTCAATTTAATAAGGCAGGTAAAGTTCATGTACATAAGTAACTAAGGTATTCAACATTTCTAAATGTCTATAATGTTGTAACTAGCTACATATGAGAGTAAGTACCATACTGAGTATGACTTGAACCAGACATTTGAAAAATAAACCTAAAGCAGAAACGCACAGATATAGTTTATGCTGTTTCTCAGGAGGTACTAAAATTATGCTGAACAATAGTAAGTGAGCATGTTGATGTGAAAGGATGTCTTTTTGAAAAAATAGATTTAGAACATTATTGATGAACTTTATTCTCTATTTAGTAAATTTTTCTACCTACCTAAAAAGAAAACTGCTAGCGTGAGTCATAATATATTAATCATTAAATTATAGAGTTAATGTCATTTTATTTCACTTAAAACATAGACATATGATATATTTTCAATTTTTTTATTGTTGTTTTATTACAGTTGCCCCAATTGCCCCCCTCTGCCTTTCTTCACCCAGCCCACCCCCCACTCCCACAGTCCATCCCCACACCATTGTTCATGTCCAAGGGTCATTCACACATGTTCTTTGACTAACCCCTTCCCTTTTTTTCCGCCATTGTCCCCTTTTCTCCTCTCCTCTGTTTGCTATCAGTCTGTCCCATATTTCCATGCTTCTAGTTCTATTTTGCTCATTTGTTTGTTTTTTAAATTCTCATATTATAATAGTAAAATCAAATATTGAATGTTTCTGGTATATTACATATCCAAAAAGACTCTTATGTTTTAAGTATTTAAGTCTTGATTTTTAGGCTAAGGAATGTTTACCAGTGAAGAATACTACTTCAGATTAAGCATATAGTCTAAGGTTTAGACTGTTACTGAAATTGAAACAGAGACCAGAGGCAATGTGGACCAATTAGACCAATGAACAAATATATGTGTGTCTCTGTGTGTGTAAAAGAGTAGTGTGTCATTCCCTCTGTTTCTGGTCATTGACCTCTTGATTTTCCTCTTTTCAGTTTTCACATGGCATTCTGTAGATAATCAAAGCATCAGTAAAGGTTTCAGGACCACACTTTCTGTACTACAACTTCTTAAAATAAAAACCAAATTTAAGCTTATGAAAGATTGTTTTCTATCCATGTGGGTAAACTACATTTCCCTCAATTCTCTTTCAAATTGACTCTTGCTGAATAAACTTCTTTTAAAAAGGACTCCATGTACTGCACAATGACCCAATCACAATGTAAGAAATACTTGATATGAGTCATAAGTTCTACCTTCCATGAATGGTCAGTGACCAGGAGCTACACAGGTTCGGTGAGTCTAACAGAGTTAATGGCTCATTCTCAGTAGAGAAGCGTGTTTCTAGATATCCACAGTCCTTTTTATTTACTCCCGGCAAAAGCCGGGGAAAATAATCCGTGAAATTCCCATCCTGCTTGAGAGCACAACATCTGCAGGAGACTCGAGAGTGTTGCTGGATGAATTCACTAACATAAAAGCCTGTATTTCATCAGCTCTTCTCTCATTAAAAAATCAATATCAGCTATTATGGAAGGTTCCCAAAGAACATAGGGACCATTCACCCAGTTTAAAATGTTTTTTACACCCATTATTATACCATATATTTCCCAGCAGAAATCTTTCTGACTTCTCTATGTGGTGGTGAAGACTGTCTGCTTCCCGAAGCACAGCTATCAAAATAGATGTGGATTTAGTAGGAGGATAGGACTAGAAGAAATGATAATGTTCCTATCTTTAAAAAGAACTTAGTTGTTCATTACTTGTACTGGCAACTTTTTCCTTTTTCCCTTCCCTATGGTTGCAATTAAAGTCATTCCCCATGAAAGCTAAGTGAGGAAACACTTGAACTACATCTCTGTGGGCTAAATGGACCCAGGCTGAGACAATCTTTACTCTCATGTGCAGATTCACAGCACTCAATCCTTCTCTCTGAGGAATGGAGCCCATCAACAAGGGCAAGGTCAGCATTTGCTACCTGTCATCAGCCATGTGCTAGGGAGATAGCTGGGGTTCTTCTGACTTGAAGTTGGCTGCCCTTCACACCCATGTAGTGTGTGCATGTGTGTGTGTGTGTGCATGTACATGTTAGCAGAGGAAGGGGTAAGTACAATATCTACTTCCCAAGGAAATCTTTGACAGAATCCTAAACAAGCACATGTGAATTCAGGTTACCCATAAAAACTAGAAAGCAATTCATATCTAAAGAAAAATTACTGCAAATGAATAATCACAGTGTGACAGAGGGGAAAAATGCCTCAACAAGTACAGAGATGTTTCTAGAACTCTAAGTACACAACTGATCAGGTAAAGCCTAATCTAGACTCTTGTTACTTTTCAGACTATGTGTCCCTGTGGTTGATTTTAAGTTTAGTAGTCAAATGTTGACTTGCTACTTGTAGATTTTCAATGCCTGATCATGTTAGGTATTGTTCATGCACTCATCCATCCATTCATTCATTTATGCATTTATTATTTCATAGGCAGTCTGTAAATTCTATTACTTACAAAGCACCATGCTAGACAATATAGAAAATTCAACATTGACTAAGAACCCAGTTAATGTTCTCAAAGAACTTAAAATCTAATCCGACACACATATACATAAACAAAATATAGTAAGATTTAGGCAGCTATACGTACTGTGAAAGAGGTGGGGCCAAGGTATGATTGTAGTATAAAGAAAGCAGTAACTATCTCTCAAGAGGATGTATGGTGTTTCAAGCAGGGGTTGGAGAACTAGGAAAAAAAACCTATTCAAGTTATCTAAGCAAATGAAGATAAAGAACTGGCCTAAGGCAATAATTTCAATGGAAAGGGGAATGAATACAAAAGACTATTGAGGTAGCTTTTATAGAATTAAGTGATCGGCCCTGGGAATTGGGAAGAAGAAGGAATAAAATAAAATATGAATTTCTTTTTAGTTGGACAGTGGTGGGAGTGAAAGCAGAGATAAAACAGGAAAGAGGAGGAAGATTTTCCAGAGAATTTGCTCACATTTAGATATCATGAATTTGAGTTGCTAGATCATTGTTGAGGAGAGGCTGTTGACAACTCCCCAGGACTGCCTGATCCATTTTGATGGTTTCAGTCACTGTCTACATGCTACTCACACACAGCTAAATGGTTTAGGCCTCATCCAGCCCTCCAAATATACCTAACAAACCTCCTAGTTTTCTCAATTCTACTTATATTTAAAATTCAACAACTTATCTTCATTCCTAAATAGTCTCCTAATCCAGTCTCTTATTTGGCCTCACGTAAATGTAAATTTAAAAAATGACAACAATGAGCTTTGGCCAAGTGGTTCCATTGTTTGGATCATCATCCTATATACCATAAGCCTGTGGGTTTAATTCCCAGTTCAGGACACATACCTAGGTTGCAGGTTCAATCCCTGGTTGCAGCATGTACAGGAGGCAACCGACTGATGTTTCTTTTTCACATCTATGTCTCCCTCTCTCTGTCTGTATCCCTCCCTCTCTCTCTACGGTCAATGAACATATCCTCACATGAGGATTAAAACAATAACAACAATGATCTCTCCTAAATGCAATGCACTTATATTATTGCCCATTTAAAAACACTAAAAGAGCTCTCTTGCCTTTAGGATCAAGCACAAAATCTTGTATATTGTTAAAACATCCTACCCTACTTGGCTTTTTAGCCCAATCTCTTGTCACTCACCCACAGGAGACCCTATGTTCCAGAAAGCCATCCTGGATTTTTTTCTGTGAAAAAACAGAAGATGTCTTGCTCTCCCCTGTACATCTCTGTGGGCTGTTCCCTCAACCTGTGTAGGAACAAGAGGAAAAGGAAAAGAGTTTCAAATTCATTTTTTCCTCACTTGAAATTCATCAAGTCAATCACAACTTCACCCATCTGCCATACCCATATTCTCAGTCTAGCCTTTATTTTTAGGATCAGCAGCATTGTTCTTAACTTTCCACAACTATAAAAGTGCCTCAATTCCAAAGTAGAAAATAATTTATTATCTTAGTCAGAGAGATACTGATGACATCATTCCTCTTCTTTTCTTTCTTTCTTTTTTTTTTTGCAAAGTTCACATTTATTTCAAAGAGATCCATTTTTTTCCTCAAAAAGTTTGGCCTATAACTGCAGAGAATATCCCTTCAGCCTACACTATAATATAAACAAAGTACTTTTCTAAAGGTTGGCAGAAAAGTGCCTGAGCCTTTCTACAATTATACCTTTAATTGTTCCATGGCTTTAATAACCTTTAATAAATACAATCATTGCTTAACTAGAGAAAATTATGTTGTGATAGTATGAGTCATAGAGTCATGGGAGAACATAAGGTGAGAACCAGAGGGATAAGTTTTATACTCTATGTGCTCACACACCCTTTGACCTGGATAATTCAATTACAGTTTGGGGGAAATTAAATTTTTCTTCTTTAAAATGGGCACTGTGATATATTTTTGTAACAATGTATAAAGTATAAAGCTATTTTTTATTCATTAGCTATCGATTTTCCCAGAACATGTTGGGTATATTTATATCTACTTTAAAAATAAAAAATATAATTAAAAGATTAAAAAAATAAAAATGAGGAGAAGATAAATGGGGTATAAATGGTGACAGAAGGAAGCAGAATTGCGTATCTGAAACATGCAATTTTATTAACCAATGTCGCCATAATAAATTTAATGTTAAAAATGTATTTAGAAAGAAAGAAAGAAAGAAAGAAAGAAAGAAAGAAAGAAAGAAAGAAAGAAAGAAAGAAAGAAAGAAACTGAGAAAATGGAGGTTCAAAGAGGCTAAAAGACTTTTTCAAGATGATTCAGATTTTAATGGCAGATCCAGATTTTCTGACATCAGACACCTTATTATTTCTGCTGTCCCATGCTGAATATGCCTCTTATACAAGGAGACAATATAGGGATAAAGAATACTCTCATGCTTACTTCAATAGTTTATGCTAAAGTTAAATTATTATTCTTCAAGTGCACTGACAACTTCATTGGTTTTTAATTTCATTATTACTGATGTTGCCTCTACTGATAAATGTGGCAGGTTAAAAACCATGAACATAGTTTTTCATGTGTACAACTGAAAGGCATTGCTATGAAAATTCGTTCCTGTGCATTGGTAGAATTAACCAAGTAAGCTTAACCAAACTTAACCAACTAAGATTTCATTTACATTTCTGAAGGGGTTTTTTTGTTTGTTTGTTTATATGTTTGTTTTGCCCAGATGCTCCACGCGGGGCTGCCAGAGCTGAGTGGAGTCCAAGACCTGAAATATGTGTACGATAACCTTCGTCCGCAAGACACAGACCTGGAAGCAACAAGTCATTTTACCAGGTAGAGCTGGCCGTGAACGTGTATATTCCTGTGTGTGTGTACACATGGTTCACATTTGAGATGATTTTGGTGTGAACAGTCGTTGGAATGAAACTATCATTCCAACATTTGTGTCTGAGTTCCCAAGGGGTACAAAAGAGCAACGGGGACGCCGGTGTCTCCGTCACACACCGGTGTTCGGTAACAAGACTCTGCATCCAACACATTGCTCAATCACAGGTCACTGAAAAGAGCAAGGGCTGACGAAAATAAACTGGTTGTTCTACTTGAACTATGTCCAGAAAAACCATTTGGAGAAAGAGATTTATGATGAGATAGAAACTCATGACTTTCATCTCTAAGAAAATACCCTGCCGTGTCATTGCTTGGACAGAGCAATTACAGTGCCACAATTTACCCACAGTTCCTCCTATCACTGTCAAAAGGAAAAAAATTATACTTTGGATAAGAAAAAGCTCTTTGGGGCCCTGGCCAAAGGGAAAATGTAAATGTGCTTTATTCGTCAGCCTGAGTCCCATCCCTCCCCCCACCAAGCTGTAAAGAGCAGAATCTTAGATACTGGTGAGCTGGCCTGGGTTGACTCATCTGCCAGCTCCATTCAAGAGAACTTGAACTAACACTGGAAGTAGATCTGAAGCCAGCAACCTCCTGGCAGTGAGCTAGTATATCCCCCTCTGCATACTTTCTGCCAGGCTAATTTTCCAGCTTTCGGGTGTTGTGTAGTATGCTCTTTTAATTAAACTTCTTTTGAGAAATCCATAGTAAAGAACTTGTTCTCCATTGCAAACTTAAAAGGCATCTAGTCATCTAATTAGGGCAGGTCATCTTTCTGTTCAATTATTGCCTTTGGCCATTTCCTACCCCTAACTTTTGAGGATCTTATAATTTAATTGCCTTTAGGAATGTTTATCCGTCGCAACTTTATTATTGCCTAATGCATCATCTTCTGAGTAGATCACTTTTCCAGCCTACATTCATTCCTGCTTCGTGTATTTAACTTGCATTCATAGCCTCATCAGAAATGTTCCCAAAGAATCAAAAATTAATGAAATAGAGGGGGGAGTCTGATCCAACTTCCATCCCATTCAACCCTTGATGTTCTGGACACCTACCACCTCACCCATGAAACCTTCTCAAGTTATTCTAGTACTGACTGGTCTTTCCCTCTATAGTTCAACAAAACATGTACTTTTCATGCTATACTTAATTTTATTAATGAATTATTTACTATCTGTATATCACCTTAATTAATATATTTGTTAGTTACATCAGTTTCTCTCAAGTAAAGCAGGAGATAGAGTCCCACTTCTAAAAATATCTGAATATAAAACAAACTCTATTTCTCTTAAACTATATGAAAGAGTTTAGCAGAAAATACAATTTAAACATGAAACATTCAGTATATAACAGGCATATAAAAGGACTAATATTTAGCACAGGGCTTCTTGTGCATCAGGCCCCACTCTAAGTGCTTTTTGGATGTTAACTTATTTAATCATCACAACAAGTCTGTGAGGTAATATCATCTTTATCTACACTTTTAGATTAGAAAAACCGAGACTCCAGAGAAGTTAAATAAAGGATTGCCAAAGGACACAGTTTACCAGAGAGAGTCACAATTTGAGTCGGCAGGGGGGGGCGGGGGAGGCAGTTGGAGGGTCGTGTCTCAGAGCGCAGGGTCTTGCAGGCTCTGGGAGATGCACAGCTGCACACTTCAGACCAGTTTCCTCGAGGTTCTTAGAGCCCACGTTGGCCGCAGTTTAACCAAAGCAGATCCCGCACCCTTCCCCCAGCACCAGTCCTGGCTTCCTGAATATCCCACGTCTTGTTCAAAGACAGAAGTCCCTCCCTGGAATTCCTATCACTGAGCAGCACCGGGTGTTCCCGGGGTGCTTGACTCAAGCTCTGTATAATTGCTGCCCAAGGTGCCCCCATGGGACACTTTGACTAATGTCACCGAGGCAGTCACCTTCCTTCTTTTTCTGCTTTGGCCCATTACCAGATGTCTTCAAACTCTATAATTTTTCCTCTTTTTTCCTCAGAGAAATCTCCCTCGAGACTCACTCTCCCTTGGACTTCCAAGAACTTATAGTGTGTTTTATCTTAAAGTCTCAATTGTGTGCCTTTGTTTTTAGATATGATTTAATTTGCTTTGAACGTGTCTTTTCAGCTTTTCTCTGAGTTCCCTGGTCAGTATGTGCAGATCAGATGTTGAGAACATTTTCTATGGCACATACCGTCCAGTATCGTGAGGGACTTGCTACTGAGATCCGAGAAAGCTCAAGTGACTGTGACCATGATTTTTACCCTTAAAATAAAGTTACTTACCCCCCCCAGCCCCCCGACCAAGGCACCCACAGAGTTTCTTTCCCACTCTTTCTCCTTCCCTTCCCCTCTCTCTAAAAATAAATAAATAAAATATTTTTAAAAAATCTCTCCATTATTTAGATATTTTCAAATTTAAACAAATTATACAGTATTTCTTTTTCGATACTTAAACAATGTACAAATACTTAAACAATGGGTACAGTGAATTTATAGATCTATATCCATTAATTAAAAACAATAATGGGAGCTTTAAATGAGAAGATTTAAATAAATGTTAAAAATGATGTATACTTGTTTACTTTTCTGTGTAAACAATAACATCTTAAGCTGCATTCTCTGACATCACATGCATTTCTAAAGTCAAGGAGAAACTTGAAGTGTAAACATCAGTGCATATAATTTACCAGAAAAGTAATCAAGTTCTATAATGGATCCAGCCCTGGTCTTCCTGATTCAAGCAACGTCTTTAACCCTACCTGCATATGTGGTCCCCTGTACATTTAAACTCTTTGTCCTCTTTGTTCTGATAGGTTAAAAGTGCTTCATGTCACTGTTATTCTGATGACACTGCTAAGACACAGATAAAAACAAGACAAGAAAATCCAGTCTCCCCCTTGCCCCCCTACCACTGGGCTCACAGATTTGGGTCCTGAATGAGGACTAAGTCATCAGAGACACAGCATGAGTGGCCACCTGAAATGCCTTAGTCCTGACTGCACTGTATGCATTAAGAGGCTGCCATTCTTGACCCTGTTTGAGACTTGAAAGAAAGAAATGGATTTTCTTGCCTCTCCAAGGGAGTACTCTGCTTATGAATAATACAGGATTCTACCTCACTCCTAGATACATTCTGAGTTAAAAGCTGGCGATCAGAGTTTCAAAGGATATTGTACTCCATGTGGCATTGAAAACTGTATCACAATTAATGGCATTTAGAGAAAAAATGAATATAAAATCATTTTGCTGGCCACAAAGGTTTTCGACATAATTGCCAACTGTTCTCTCCGCTTCCCTTAATTTTTTCTACTCCGCTTTCAGCGGCGTGCCTTTGAGCAGAACCAAGAAAGTATCATGACTCGGCCCCTGCAAATGGATACTCTCATGTAATGTCTCTGCTGGGCCCACTGCGAGGCAACAAAGGCAGCCATCCATTAAAATGCTGTCCAAATGGGTTATTTCACAATTTTCAATCTCTTTCAAACCTCGGGTTAGCTGTCCTTAGAAACAGATAACCTATTTCACAGCCTGGGCAGGATCATGAAGCATAAGCTTCCCTGCCTAACCCCCCCTCCCACATAGAGATTATGCTTTTCACTTCATCCATTTCCTGCTCCAAAAATGTGGGAGGAAATATTTCATGTTTTCCCAGTATTTCATTTGGTCTGCCACACAGGTTTTTGGTTTAGTGAGTATAAGAACTCTTGTTCTTCAGTTGAAATTGAAAGTAATTTGAAGCAAAACACAACTTCAAACCTCAAAAACAAATACTTTGTATTCGTGAGGTGTTTTGGTAGCAAGAACCAGAGATTCTATGATGTCCTGGGGAAAAGGGATATACACAGACTCAAACTACAGCCTAACAAACCCCAGGACCCAGTAGGATCTGGCTAATTTCTAATGCAAAACAAGATCTTCTACTATACTTATTTCTCTGTAATATTCTACTTCTCTCTGTGCACTGGCCAGTATTCTCTAGTATAAACGCCGGAGAAAGGTGATCCTTTCATTTAACGAGTTGCCTTTGGCCATATGGGACAGAGTCCTTAAACAAAGGCATTGTGGACTCTCCTCCCTGTCTATACTCCTATCATGGGCCATCCCTTCACAGAGAACAACCTAGAGCTTCTTCTCTGAAGAATAAAAGCACAGTTTAATGCCTTTCTATCTGGTTTCATTCCAAGACTGAGAGTCTGGGACAGAAATACAGATCCCTGGATTCTTTAATCATTAAATTTTCTTAATGCTTTTTTAGTTCTTTGTAAATTGTCATCTCATCAATTATTGTATTTCCACAAATAAAAGTCAAAATTTGGACTTCCACCAAGATGGAGGCATAGGTGGGAATACTTTGCATCCTCAAACAACCAAATCTAAAAACAACAAAGTTTTAACAATAATAAACGCAACCAAACCACAGAAAATTGAACAATACGGAGTCCAAAAACAATGAAATGCTCAGCTAAACCAGTGAGAGGGGCGAAGCCAGCAGCAGAGCAGGTCAGGTAAAAAAGATCCCCTGACCCGGACGGTGCACAGGCAGCTGAGGGCACAGATCCCAGGTGCGGGCTAGCTACGGGCAGAACCCAGGGAAGAGGCTCAGCTGGCTGTCTGCAGTTGGTCGCACATTTGCACACAGATAAGCCAATGAAGAGGCAAGCGTTGAGACAGATCACGCAGGCTCCAGCAGCCAGTGCAGGGCGGTGGGCTCGCACATTTGCCTTCGGATAAGCAGGCGGGGGCCAGCGGTGAGGCAGACTGGGCCAGCGGAAAGGACCACCATTGCTCCCTCTCTGACCCCGCCCCCACATACAGCATCACAAACCAGTGAACTGGGTGGCCCCGCCCTGGTGAACAACTAAGGCGCCTCTCCTCATATGTAACATGTGCGGACAGATCAAAACATGGCTCAAGGACAACTCAGAGCCCCAGAGCCGATAAGTCTAAGTGATGAA